TCATATTACTTTTATACAGCCTTTCTTTCCCTAAAGCTGGAGTGGGCTGCAGTCTCGACCTCGTCTCAGCCGGTCTCATTAGCACCATCAGCGGGACTCGAACCATGATTGGGCAACATACGATCTCGGCACGCTGACACGAGTGACTTTGGGGCACAGGGCATACGTAGATTACACTTTGTGTGGTGGGATTGCCGATGAAGCAAACTCGTATCCACAGTCGCAGACGACTATGTTAATTATGTGTCGTTTGTAAGTATGCTTTCGAGACTAACAGTAATTGCAATAACGGCAGTCCACTTATGTCTGAGTGGGAATGCCTTTTGGCAAGCAAGCTCGTGTGACACTTAGACGAAGCGTATGGTCTACTTGTATGAGTATGGGAAAATTCGGCTACCAGTCCTACAGTTGACGCATATCCTACGCACAATTGGTAGGCTTCGACGATGAGTTAGGTCTCATCCACATCCCCGACGGCAATTCAACTTTGGCGACGCAAGCTGAGTGTGTTTATCTTCCACTTACGACCTCTAACCCATGCCACCAGCGGCGTCGGTCGGTGGGAAGGCACGAGTACATTTCATCACTAACCAGATCTCTCTCAGATCTCATTTTTCCAGTCCGACTAAAGCTGATGCAAGCATGCATTTGCTATGCATGAGGTGTGTTCATCCCATTTCGTTAGAGGTGATGATTGACTGGTGGTTGAATTTTCCCAAAAAATACGTGGGCAGATATGACGTTTCCGTTCAATTTCACATGGCCTCACTTTCAAAAACGCTATTCTCATCCAGAGTATGCTTCATTTTCCACTCCCAGCGGAACTCGAACTATGACGCTTCAGTGGATCACTCGGCTCATCCACCGCAGGTGTGAATTTCAAGGGAGCTCAGGCATTTTACCATGTCACATTCTCGGATGGTAGTATAGATGAAGCAAAGTTGTATTTGCTATGGCAATCAATTACGTTGTTTAGACGTTGTTTTTCGAGACTGTCAATGGATCATATAAATGGCGTACTCGTTGCTAAGGCCTAGGCGAAGCCGAAACTGCAATCTGCTCTGGAGGATACGGTCTTTTGGCGAAGCAGCGTCAAGTGAAATTCAACAAAAATGTCTGGTCTATTCATCTGATTGTGGAAAAATGCAACTATCATAAATGAAATAGGATGGTCACATTTCATCAAAAGTGAAATTATAAATTAAAAAATATGTATTTGCTATTGAGTTTGAGTAGTTTTCGATGTTTCTAGTAGAACTGAAAGTAGAACTGTTCTCATGCTGAAAGACGCTCAACTTGATCCAACTTGATCTGATCCAAATGCGCGATTTGCAGCTTGTCCGTGCACAGCGTGTGGACTTGAATGACCCTCTTGACTGGATCTGAGCTGATCTCGAAAGTGATCAAACAGCTCTGGAAAGACTGCAGAATGACACAGCCGGCAGAAGTTTGCCGAGGCGGATGGTGAATATGGAAGCACCACTTGCACTGCATTGAGGCCATTTGAAGTGATGCATTCTTGGGCTACTTTGGGACAAACGAAGACAGAGACAAGAAGAAATGGGCAATTTGGTCCTATCAGATGGGCGCCAGGAGCTGGGACGAGGGGGTGGGAAGACGAGATGCCACAAGAGTTGCATACAAGCATGGCAACTTGTGGTTGCTTGGCCCCCTAATGCCGGCGAAGATACCAATTCATCAGCCGAATACTGTCAATCGGCATGACGACCTTGGCAGACGAAGCTGAACTCGCATTAGATCTTCATTCTCTCTCTCTCTTTCTGTTACTTCGGTCAAGTGGCCGAGGCGGGGTCAAACCAACTCTCCACAACAAAATCGTTTGGGTTGTGTATCCTCGCGTCAAATCTCTTCGGATTTTGGCCAAATTTGCCCTTTCTTTCTGCTCACCTCGTTTTGACATTTGTACCGGTTTTGCTGATCTTATAACCAGCATTCACTTTGCTGGCGACTCTCCGAGTGTATCCGTCTAGTCTGGAATATTGTTGAGCCTACTTTCATTTTTAAGTGAACGTGTTTGGTCTGTACCACCAGAAGACGACTAGCAACGGATTACGTTTGACCAAGTCTCGATTGACTCTAATCGAACATTCATGCTGACGCTGTTTCTGAGGGGCTAAGCCTTCGTCGTCACAACCAAATTCAAGCTAACGTGACAAATCGCTAAAATACGGTATATATAT